ATTCGTAGTATATTTAGAAATGAGGTCTAACTGTAACCTTTTGCTTTGTCCTTGTGCACCAGAATGATTTGCAAAGGAGAGCATCTGGCTTGTACAATGAGCAATTTGGCTCCGAGGATCTGCAGAACACCTCATTTGGTTATTGGCAAGCTAAAGCTCAAGCATCATTTGATGACCGAAAACCTAGAATGGGAAATATGACAGACAGTTATTTATCTCAATGCTCATTTGCTGAGCAGTTTCCTGTGAGTTCAGTCAATGATGTGTCCAATAGTTTGCATGGATCTACCGGTTGGAAGAATCTTGATAACCACAGCGGTGATGATGTTGGTGGAACTGGAATCAAGACTAGGGCTCGACATCCTCAACTACAACCGAATATAGATAACTTTGTAGATCAGGGCTCTGCTGCAAGAAGACTTCATTTATTAGTGGACCGTTCAGTTTGGTCAATTACCAACGGCAATGAGAGCGATGAAAACTACAGCACGGAAGAAGATGAAGTCCAATCAATTATTGCAGAGGTAAGGGCGTCCTTGTGAAGCTAACTTAATAATTCTTGTCAAATGCATTTATCTAATTTTACACTGATTGTTTCATGCAGACTAGAGAGGATATACAGCAGAGCCCTACTTCTGATGAACAGGAGGAAGAGCATGCGATATTCAGCAACAAAGAAGAATGGTCCAGTACGAATAATTCTATTAACCATGGCTTTGATCCTGATGGTAGAAGTGGAATCATGATTAGGACTCGCCAGCCTCAACAACGATCAAATTCAGACAGTTCTGTAACTCAGGACACTGCTCATAGAAGAATCGGTTTGCAGATGAATATTTCATACGGGTCCATTGCCGATAGTAACGTGAGAGAGACAGATTACGGGGGAGAAGATGAAGTAGAATCTGCTAATACTGAGGTAAGGGTCCTTGGGACACTACATTAGTATCTCTGCTGTTGCTTCTTATGCATTTTCAAACTTTACTCTATTTGTTCCATACAGGCTAGAGAAGCTATACAGCAGAGTCTGGCCTCTGATGAACATGAGAAAGAGCATGCGGAAATCAACGATAAGGAAGACTTGGCCACTATGAAGAATTCCGTCAACTATGATTCCAATGTTGTAGGTAGATCCGGAATCAAGATGAAGGCCCCCGAGCCTCAACAACCATTAAGTTCAGGTGATTCTGCAACTCAGGCCCCTGCTTCTAGAAGAATCCGTTTGCAGATGAGTACTTCACCTCGGTCAGTTGTTGATAGCAATGTGAGAGATACAACCCCTGCTGAAGAAGATAATGTGCAGTCAACTATTTATGAGGTAAGGATGGTCAACGAAGCCAACATAAGCATTGTATATACATATGTTCGGTGTTCCCATCAAATTCTAAGCGAGCAATATTGTCCCTTGCAGGTCAAGGAAGCCACGGAGAAGATTTCTAATTTCGATGAGCAGGAAGCAGAGTCCCGTCTTTTGAAGTCAGACATGGGCAGGAAAATTACCGATGGCTCACCAACAGAACTGGTTGATGAGAAGAGGGCTGCTGAAGAAGCCCCAATAACGTTGAGGTTAAGGACGGGAAGGGACGGTGCATCACCCAGCAGCCATATGGGGCTGTCAGTGTCTTCGAAGGAACTGCCCAAACACCACGGCCTGAGTCCTACATTTGTTATTTTGGTTGGTATTCCTTTAGCCGTAACCCTGTTCATAGCATTTAGTGGGATTTGGATGACATTTAGATCTTGACGTTGCACGGAGGAAGCCATTGACGATAGGCATAGGCGCTTCGTTCCACGATGTGTTTCAGTTGAAACGGGTTATTAGGCTTGTAAATTGCGTTCTCATATAATCGTGCGGATGTAACCTTAGATGAGATAAATAATGACAGTTTGTAGTTTGATTTAGTCTGTTTCCAGACAACTCTGTTTTTCTAGAGTTTAGTTGGCTTAGTTTTCACTGGAAACATAACATAGATCTGACGTGGCTATTATATTTAGGGCTGGTTCGGTATGGGATACCGAACTGAAAATGACATACCAAATCCCGAACCGAAAATTTTCGGGACGAGAATAAGAGGACCGATCCCAAACCGAAACTTCGGGATTCCCGAATTTCGGTATTCCCAAAAAAATTTCGGTATTTCGGGATTTCCCGAAACCGAACTTGCATTGAAATCCAAATCAACTAATTGAAATCGAAAACATTCAAACCTGCATGAAAAACCCAAAATGAAATCAGAGAAGTGACAGTGAATCAGTGAAGATTGATGGGAGATAGAGAGACAGAGTGAAGAGATAGTTCGTCCTCCTCCTGACCCGAGCCCCTAATTCGAAACCCTAAGCCCCAATTCGAAACCCTAATTTGAAACCCCACATAGAGAATCAATGGAGAGAATCGAAGGTGGGGATGAAGCCGTGATGTGTGGTGGTGGCCAGAGGGGAGAAAGTTCGTCAGAGTGAGACTGTGAGAGGGTGGTGGCTGCTAGGCTTCGAATTCGAGAAGGAGAGACAGAGAGAATCTAAGAGGCCAAAGATAAGAAATGAGAGAGAGTGAGTATGGATGTGTCGGCTTGGGTTTGAATTGAGTTGAAGGAATGTTTTGGTGGCTTCGCCTTTCTAGGTTGCAAAGCAGACAGCACCCATGTGCTTTGATAAAACTTCAAGCGCCAGGCACACAATCAGATCCTTATCCCCACACTTAAGTTATTCTAATAATATAAATAGGCCATATACATATATTCCAACATATATATAACAATAGGGTTTAAAGTTCGGTTCGGGATGGGAATACCGAACAATTTTAAGTGTGAGACCGAATCCCATACCGAAAAATTCGGGATCGGTTTGGTTTCGGTATCAAAATTTTCGGGATTTTCAGTATGGTTTTTTTTCGGTTTGGTTTCGGTATGGTTTGGGATTTTCGGTATTTTTTTTCACCCCTAGTTATATTTGTGTCATTTGGCAAAAAAATAATTTTTTAATACATTTAAAAATAATTAATTAAAGAAAAATTATTAAAAAATAAAAAACCAAACCCTTAAACCTAAAACCCATCTTCCCCAACCTTCGTCCCGCCCCTCACCATAACCTTCCTCTCACTCTCCCCTCTCTCTGTTTTCCTAATTTATTTTTCATTTTTTGCGATTTTTTAAATTTTTATCTGAGCTGTTGAACTCGCGGGGATAGTCGGAGATTTTGCTTTTAGGTCCCTGGAATTTCGTTAATCTGCGAGGGATTAGGGTTTTTGGAGGATGAGATTTGAATGGGATTTTGAGTTTCTGCAATGGTACCTGCTGTGTCGACGACATTGAACCCCAAAGCCACGTCCCAAGGAGGAGGTCGTCCTCAAAACGGCACCGTAAGGCCGCCTCTTTTGCCTTCGGAATCCAACAATGGCGTCGCTGTTCCTCGCCGCCCCAAAGCTCGGGAGGTCACTTCTCGGTACATGTCCTCCTCCTCCTCCTCGCCGACAGAGTAGCAGCTGTGGCCTGCGAGGTTGCGGCAACCAAATAGTATGAGTAGGAGCTTGGATTGTACGGATGAGAGGAAGAGGGTGAGTGGATCTGGGGCCAATGTGGTTAGGGCATGACGTTGATGGGAGATTGAGGTCGAATTCTTACAATTTAGGTTCAGTGAAGGCTACTGAGGGGAGGTGGGGTGGGGTGGGATCGCTGGGGTTTTGGTGGTGAAGGTCGGGGAGGTGAAGAGGAGGAGAGGGAGAAGGTGTTCGTGGGGGGGGGGGGGGGGGGGGGGTGGGGGGGGGGGGGTTATGGGGGAAGGATTTGGATCCTCGTGGATCGTTGGAATTTTATCTAACCTCTATAATTATTATAATTTTAAAGAAACCTGTTTGTTAAAAATCCAACGATCCAAGATAATGGGTCAGGAGCATCTTCTCCATTAGCTCAGGAGAGGATCCAAATCCATGGGGGAAGATGGGTTCTGGATTTGTTTTTTTTTTTTTTTGTTTTTTTGGGTTTGTTTAAATAAATAGGGTAAATTACTATAATATTTTAAATATATAAAAAATTATTTTTTTGGTTATATGGATAATTACATCAGCACAAATGTAGATCATATATTTGCCACGTCATTACTTAACATTTTATTTAACGGATTAGAAAGATCCTATATTTACCACGTCATTACTTAACGGTTTATTTAACGGATTTTCTAATAAATGTATGAAATTGAAATAAAATGATAAGTAAATGTATAAAATTGAAATGTTTTAAAGATGTAAGAAATTGAAATCAACTTTAAACCTAAGAGGATAAAATGTAATTTACCCTATTATTAACTTTGCACAATATGGAACTGGATCCTCTCCTGAGCTTAGGATGGGGATCCTTCTAAGCAGCTCATTCAGATTGTTGAAATTTGATTCAATGACTTCAAACAATGAACTCTTCTAAAAATTTTAATAATTACAACCGTTAAATTAAGTTTGAACGATCTGGATGAGCTATTCAAAAAGATGCTATTCTGAGCTCATGAGATGATCTAGTTCCGCGCAATATAACGGTGAACTCATATGTGCAAATTGCAGGGCGTGGCAAGGAGAACACGTAACAAAGGATAAAAATTGAGAAAAGGTTACCAGTGAGTGACGTCCATCTTTTGTTCTCTGCTTTCTTCCATTTTCTTTAAAAATTGGGTGAAAAAATAGCCCAGATAAATCCGAACCCTGAACCTCCAACGAGTCATCTCGTGTCAACCTCCACGTGGCAGCCAAGTAGCAAAGCACACTGAAAAAACTAGAAGGTTCCTGATATAGTGGAGATATTTTTTAATGTGATTAGAACACGGAATAATATATTATGTATTATTATATAAATAATGAAATGTGTGTTTAAAAAGTTAATAAGTTAAAACGTAAAATTTCTTACTATTTATATAAAAATAAGTAATGTATCATCCGTGTTTCGGTTAGAATGAAAATTTTCTGAATATAGTGGGGTACCGTGGGGGCGCCGTTGTTAATGCTCAATCCAAAACCCCAAAACCGAACCATACGAGATCACATGTCCTTCCACATAAATCCACTTCCCACCACCTGCTTTCACATGTTATGTATTTCTATAAATATACAAAACCCTAAAATCTAGAGAGAGAAAGAGAAGGGATAAGGTGAGGAATTTCTACTTTCAAAAGCTTGTGTCTTTGATTTGTATTTGATGCTATAGTTATTGGGTTTTTGGAGTTATTAATTGGGTAAGCCAGAAAATTCGAAAAAGATGATTATGGTGGCGGTGCTGGCGGAGCTGATGGAGGAGTACACGGTGTTGCTGGCGAGGGTTTTGGAGCATTTGTTTTATTCCGCGCCTTTTCCGAGGAGGGTTCGGTTTCTGATCCTCAGGAATCTTCCGTTTGCTTCTTCCTACCCGCATCATCCTCCTCCACCTCTGGTTGGAGCCCCTGCCGCTTAAACCATTCAAGAACAAGGCTTCTTTCTTGTTTAGCATATAAGGGTTCCTCGGTTAATTTTCTTTTTCTTTTTCTTTTTCTTTTTCTAATGTTCTTTACGGAAATCTGATTTTGTGTAAATATTTGGAGTTATTTTAACAACGTTGGCGTAAATTTGATTGCTTGTTGATGGATAGATGAATGGCAACTGTGCTTTGGTCGGATTGTTCTGTAAGGTATGCAAACGTATGAGATGCACTGATATTTGAACAGTTGGATCTGAACTGTTAAAATCTTGGCTTTTGAGAAAATTGTGGTTAACCCACTAAATTGATCAGTGATGACGGGTGTGTGGAAAAGAACCGCGTAGAAGGCCACCTAATTTTTAGGTAGAGAAATGCAAAGTAGAATTTTGGAAAAATGGGGCTCGTTGAATTCTTTATTACCTTAAGTTTTTCAGTAAAATAATTTATAATATGAATATGAAAATTTACTTGTGAAATGACAGAGTTTAGAGATTCTTGTTTCATTTTTAGGGGTACTTCTTCCATTATTATCATTGTCAACCTAGTCACATCACATCATTATGATAACCCTTATACTTATACTATTATATTTTTTGTTGGTTTTTTAACTAAAATAGTCCATGAGATTTGCATAGCACATCATTTTGGTCCATGAGATTGAAAATCAATAGAAATTGTCCCTGAGATTGTCCACCATCTATTATTTTGGTCATTCCGTTAAAAACTTCGTTAAGTGTCCTAGAGCTCTTGATCGGAAGTTTGGACAATTTTTAAAGTTTCGTAACTCAATCGTTTCTTAACAAATTCGTTCCATAATATATCAAAATGAAGATAGGAAAGTGTTGAACAAGATTATACTTATTTGGAAGCCTAATGGTTACCGAAGATGGCTGGAAAATAGCCTAAAAGGTAATTGGTTCGTAGGAAAACTGAAAAACTCGCCGGAAACTGGGTAAACTTTAAACGTTCATGACTTCTTTAATACTCAACAAAATCCAGTTATTCGAAAACGAAAATCATAATTCTCAACGAGACTAAGAGAATGGTACCTTTATCGATGGCTAATTCGTTGTGGTTTAGTCGTCAATAAAGGTACATTTCTCTTTGTAACGTCGAGAAATATGATTTTTATTTTTGAATCACTCGATTTTGTTGAGTATTGAAGAAGTTATGAACGTTTAAATTTTACCCAGTTTTCAGCGAGTTTTGTAGTTTTCTCGCAGACTAGTCACCTTTCAGACTATTTTCCAGCCATCTCCGGGAATCATGGGGCTTCCAAATAGGTATAATCTTGTTCTACACTTTCCTATCTTCATTTTGATATATTATGGGTCGAATTTGATTAAGAAACGATTGAGTGACGAAGCTTCGAAAATTGCTCAAACTTTCGACCAAGAGCTCTGGGACACTTAATAGAGTTTTTAATGGAATGACCAAAATAATGGATGATGGACAATCTCATGGACCATTTCTATTGATTTTCAATCTCAGGAACCAAAGTGATGTGTTATGCAAATCTCATGGACCATTTTAGCTAAAAGCCTATTTTGTTTTAGGGAATTCATGGACAATCATTCTAAAAATGACAAGCCAATTCAGTTATCCCTAAAAAGAGTTCTAGTATTCAACTTCAAGTCCACGACTAACTGGGACACATCCGTTTGACCAAGCAACCATAAGGTGAATTACCTTTCAACTTGGGCCACGAAAAATAGTTAGAGTCCATTAACCCTAGTCCAGCTGCACATGACTTGGGCACCAAGTTAGGTCTAAACCTTTGTGTTTCAAGTGAGGTTTTCTTTTCGAACCTAGCTTCTCTGCCTTCCCACTTCTCATACACTCTTATCCCTTCCTATTTTATGCGGTCACAGTTAAGTCACGTCAATATTTTATAATGATTTTTTTTATAGAGATAATAAGACAAAAAGCAATAGTAATATAAAATGTTGACGTGGGTTAACCGTGTGTATAGAAAGTGGGAGGGTAGAGAAGCCAGGTCCTTTCTTTTATGTATTAACAGTTGACCTCAGAGCATGCATAATTTTGCTAGGGAGCGGTTTTCTCTTTTCTGTATTAATAGTTTTGTTGACCAAAAGAAGAGTCCATAATAAAGCTTTGGAAAATAGTAGTTAGTGTTTTTTTTTTTGAACAAATGATATTAAGGAAATGGGGTGGGTTTAACTTCATAATGGGCTAGCAATAATGTGGTTTAAATTCGCCTTTAGCGAGAATCGAACTTAAGACCTCACACTTAGAAATGAAGACGAATACTATTAGACTGTAATACTAAGTGGCAAAACAGTAGTTAGTGTGAAAACAAAACATTTCCTTCTCATTTAGTGAATTTCAGAAGGTACAATGTCCTATATTTTCGGCAAATGTTTTTTTTTTTTTTTGGTTAATCAAAAGATTTTGTCAAATTAGATGTTAGATGTAAGATGTTAAATATTTTCGACAAATGTTAGAGAGACTATTTTTTTAGACTACAATTATAAATCATCTTATGTTGTTAAACTTTGAGTCGGTGCAATGGCACTAATCAAAATTGATACTCTCTCTAAAGAAATTTTAACCAAACAATGTTATCTATACTAAGAGGGTGGTGCACTAGTAGAAAAAACACTTTGCGCGACGTAGGTACCTTCGTCGTGCAAAGTCCAAGGGCGTCACGCAAAGTATTTATTTGGAAAAAACAATTATTATAAAAATTACCGAAAATGTGACTTTCCTCCTTTCAAATTCAATTTTTTTTAACATCCCCCACAATAATATATTTTTCTAACAAAAACCCACAATAATATTTTTTTTTCATATATATCAGTCAATTTCTTAAGTATTATAAGTACGAAATAAATAAATTAAAATATATTTAGTAAATATATATACCATTGAACTTCATGGGAAAAGCATCGTATGAAATTAACTAGTTTCAAAGATCCAACCGTCAAAGTTGTTTGTATATGCTTTGAGATCGCATCAGCCAAAAATCGCAAAAAACAAACATATAGAGATCAAGTAACGGGACAAAACTTTTCAACGATTATAAACGAAAAAACACGATTTAACGGTTAATTGAACTCCGATTTTGATGATTTTTTACAGCTATACTCCTTAATCCTATATGAATACAATAAACTAATTCGATCGTCAATTTAAAATATTAACACAAGTGGTTACCACAATATCTTATGTTATACTTAATGACAATATAAATAAACTTCAAATGTTAGTGAATCTAATGTTTTGATGTGATACGCATTGTACAAAACTAGTTTCAACGATCCAACCATCAAAGTTGTTTGTATATGCTTCGAAATCATGTACGCCAAAAATCGGAAAAAAAAAACATATAGAGATCAAGTAACGGGACAAAACTTTTCGACGATTATAAACAAAAAAACACGATTTAACGGTTAATTTAACTCCGATTTTGATGATTTTTTACAGCTACACTCCTTAATCCTATATGAATACAATAAACTAATTCGATCGTCAATTTAAAATATTGACACAAGTGGATACCACAATATCTTATGATATACTTAATGACAATATAAATAAACTTCAAATGTTAGTGAATCTAATGTTTTGATGTGATACGCATTGTACGAAACTAGTTTCAACAATCCAACCATCAAAGTTGTTTGTATATGCTTCGAGATCATATACGCCAAAAATCGCAAAAAACAAACATATAAAGATCAAGTAAGATCAAGTAACGGGACAAAACTTTTCAACGATTATAAACGAAAAAGCACGATTGAATGGTTAATTTAACTCTGATTTTGATGATTTTTTTACAACTACACTCCTTAATCCTATATGAATACAATAAACTAATTTGATCGTCAATTTAAAATATTGACACAAGTGGATACCACAAAATCTTATGTTATACTGAATGAAAGTATAAATAAACTCCAAGTGTTAGCGAATCTAATGTTTTGATGTGATACGCATTGTACAAAACTAGTTTGAACGATTTAACCATCAAAGTTGTTTGTATATGCTTCGAGATCATGTACGCCAAAAATCGCAAAAAACATTCATATATCAAGGTTTGGGATGTTAATTAGACCATCTCCGATCAAAGGGAATTTGGTCAATATTAACCTTGAAATTGAACAAAATAATCTCCAACCAAAGAGCTTTTACAAATGGGCGTATTCGGGGCTCAAATCAGCCCCTAGAAGGCCTAAAAAGTGCCACCCCCAAGCAGTTAGGCATTTCTTTTTGAGCTTGTTAGTTATTGACATGGTGAAAAGGTACTTGGGCATACTAAAAAGTACGTGATAAAAATATAGAGAGAGTAAGATTTAGCCAATAAGATTGAAGACGGAAAATTTAAAGATTTTGTGGTATATACTTTATGTTGAATATATTTTGTGTTTGAAAATTTATAAAATTAGTTTTTTATTATTCCTTAAAAAATTATATTTTTGAGGCCTATGTAGCCCTCCATAGTTGGAGATTGCCTTAATTAGTAGTATATCCGATTCAAGTTTTCGTTATTAGTAATACTGTTTAGTGCTTGGAGTAGAATGTCAGGAGGTTTGTGAAGGCCGGTCAAACAAAGACATGGAATAAGAACCTCTTGAAGGAGGAAATAGAGGAGAGGCTAAGAGATTTGAGATGATGCTACTTGAAAGAGTAACATTTCGATGATGTGAAAAAGTTCCAATTGATCATCTACAAGAGTCGAGCTTAACACATTTTACTTAAAACAAATATTTGCAAGTAGATTTCATATACCAGAATATATTCAACATAAATTATATAACACAAAATCTTCAAAAACAAAATAATGTATTTATTTTGTACTCATAAGCCAAAAAAAAAAAAACTTGCGCGACGTAGGTACATGCGTCACGCAAAATAGCTTTGAGCAAGTTTTTTTTTTTTTTTTTTTTTTTTTTGGGCTTATGAGTACAAAATAAATACTTTATTTTGTTTTTGAAGATTTTGTGTTATATACTTTATGTTGAATATATTTTGTGTTTGAAAATATATAAATTTAGTTTGTTATTATTCCTTAAAAAATTATATTTTTTTGAGGCCTATGTAGCCCTCCATAGTTGGAGATTGCCTTAATTAGTAGTGTATCCAATTAAAGTTTTCGTTATTACAGTAATACTGTTTGGTGATTGGAGTGGAATGTCAGGAGGTTTGTGAAGGCCGGTCAAACAAAGGTATGGA